AGAGAGAGAGAGAGAGAGAGAGAAAGAGAGAGAGATAATTACAGCAACAGTTGGCTCCATGACACAGGCAGGTCTTGGTTTTCACGGCAAGGGATCACGGGGATGAAACTAGCTGGCTTTGAGCATTTAGGAATCACCAAGGAGGACAACGAAGAAGAAGAAGAAGGAGAAGAAGAAGTGGAGGAAGAGGCAAATACGGCAGACATCTCCTGAGATGGTGGCATCAGGTTGTTCAAGGTCCACAAACTAGGGCTTCCTCCCATCATTCGCTGCACCAAGGATATCTGATGACTCCCTCCATTCATGCTTAAAAACTTAGGGTTTGCGCACTCCCCATCCTCCTCTTTCCTCCCCGCCCCCCCTCTTCCTGTAGCCCAGGTCAACCTTTAGACACTTTGCTTCTTTTCTGCTTTCTGGCTGAGGTTTGGAGAAGAAAGCACAGGCCTTTGTTTAGAGGCATGGATACATGCTTTGAGAAACCTTTCCCTTTGTTTACCTTCCTTTCCACCCATCATTTATTTAACATTTTCTTCTTCCTTTCCTTCTTTTCCTTGCTTTTTCTTCCTGCTTTTGCTTTATCACAAAGCAGGCAAACAAAAGATAGTGGCAGATTCGAAGTGAAAGTATGTTTTGAGGGATATTAGTTCTTAATTGTGGTAGAAGCTATTTTCATGGTTAGGGTTAGACCTAGGAGTATAGTTAGCATTCTTTAATCTATTATTGGAGTGAGTAATGACAAGAGATAAGTTGCACCCAGAATGAGAATAAATTAGACTGTTAGGTTAGAGGATATGGACCAGCCACGTAAATGACATATCCTAGTTAAGAATAGACTGTTTTTTCTTCTGGACCAAACTGTTGCTTATGATCAGTCGATCGTTCATTATGTTGTGTGTGTCACAAATCATAAGAGGCAATCAAAGCATGATGAAGAGCACGCAGTCTTAAAACAAAAAGAAAAATCTACATGTTGAGAATTATTTCCTTGGCCAATTAAGCTGGATGCCCTGAAAAAGGAGTTAAAACATTTTCTCCCAGGCAGAAGACACAGTTGAGATCCACAGTATCTTCCAATTAAGCTGATGGTTGATGCTAAAGCTAAGGAATTATACTTGTTGCTGGTAAAGCTAAAAGACTATTCTTGTTGCTTGATTCTGTCTGAAATCTATCTGCAAAGTTGATATCCACAGAAATGAAAGCTACAGTTTGTCATCACCACTCGAGTTAATGCAAAATTGCAATAACAAATCAGAAACTACTGTATGTGCACAAGACATCAACTACTGCTCCTCTTTTTCATTCCCTGGACGAAACAATTCCAATCATCACAGATTATGCCTACGTTGAACTCAAATCTGGTCTTGAAATTTGAATTTGATTCAGAAACTAAGAACAGCAGAGGAAACTCGTGAAACTAAGCAAGGATTGTTTCCAATAGCGTAAGAGGATACAAATTCCAGGATCAACTCCCCAAAAATAAAACTGCTCAAATCATTTCATTGATTTGGATTTAACTTGGGCCTAGTAGCTTCAGAGATTGCCACAGGTTCAATGTCAAGAGACGAGGGATTTGGCGAATGAGTCCTTTGATTAGAAAAAAAACAAAAAATTCCGATGCTTGAAATAGTAGAGATTCAATGGATTTGAAAATGATAAGAAAGTATTTTTCTCACAGGGGGAAGCCTTTTAATGATAAGCTGAGAGATCATCGAATTGAAGCAACGGTTACTTTGTGAGACGGTCACACCAAGTCATCGATTGGTATTATGTATGTGCATCGAATCACTGGACATCGCAGTTACGATGCACTCCCTTATGCTAACATAGGGCGTAAAGTTGAGTCAAATCTCCATACGAACGCTGAGTTTATAGAATCGAAGAATATTTTGTAAAAGGAATAAATTTTATTGGTTGAAGTGATGAGTATTTATATAGATTTTAAGGGAGAGATTGTTTTTAATTAATCACTCAAATCATACAGTTAAATCAACTATTTAAATCTACAATTAATCCTTAAATCATAGATTTATTGAGGATATAAGAAAGTAGAAATGTTATTCCATGTATGTCTATATCATGATCTTCTATCATAATCTTTTCTATGATGCTCTTGTAAGATTGAGCTTTTGTCAGGGATGCAAATCTTAGACTGATGTAATTGAAATATCTTACGGGTGAGAGGCTTTGCGAGAGAATCTACTAGTTGATTAGAAGTATATACATGAGAAACACATATAGTTTATACCTGACAATTTGATCTTTATGAAGTGGAAGTCGATGAAAATGTGTTTTATGTGTGTGTGGAACATTAGATTGACGCACAAGTAAGTGGCACTAACATTATTATAGTATATTGTAGGAGTGGATTTGAAGGTGATGTCAAGTTCCTGTAGCAGATTGGTGACCCAGTTGAGTTCTACAGTGTTTGTGGTGATGACTCGATATTCAACTTCAATAGTAGATTTTACAACTATTTTCTTTTTCTTAAAACTCTAACTGATTGGATTTGCTACAAGAAAGATAATATAAACTGACGTAAATGTTTTATCATCAATGTTGTATGTCTAGTCAGTATCGACGAAGGTATGAAGATGAACTAATGAGTATTTACAAAGAAGAAATCCATGATTAAGAGTGCTTTTTAGATACTACAGGACTCGTTTTACTACAAACCAATATTACAGAGTAGAGTATGAGGTATACCCATACGAATACAGTGATGTATGATTATTGGAGTGGTTCGTTTTGTTGAAGGCCCATGGTTTTAGAAGGATATGATTATTTGCGTGGTTCGTTTTGTTGAAGGCCCATGGTTTTAGAAGGAAAAAGTAGACTCAACAAAAATAATATGACATGATATAAATACTTTTTGAGTTTGAGGATTATAGTACCGGAAAACATTATGTTCAATAGAGTACCCTAAAAAGATACAAGGCTTGAATCTTAATGTTAACTTATGTAAGAATAGAGGTGTAGCTAGGGATAACATAAACAACCAAATACTTTGAGTTTTTAAAGATTAGGGTGAAATCGTTTCTTAAATGATGACTAGTATTGTAAGACTAGGGTGAGTATACAGTTAATAAGGTAGACCGTAGTTTGAAAGGTTATTGACCAAAAGATTGGTAGTACGAAAGCTTAGTGTAAAAGGATAAGACCAGTTTTAACTATATATCAATACTTAGTGTAAAGTATGCTTTCGTTGGACTGGTGGTGACTTGAGATGTTGTATATCGAGAAGTAGGTTCTTAGGGCTTAGTATTCACCTTCTCTATCAAAGTAAACTATTTTAGTGGCAGAGTGAAAGAAATTTTCGATCATCTATCTAAAGTGAGTAAATATTATGGTGACTTCAGATTTATATTTGAGAGGGTATAACTATATATAATTTATAAAAATAATATAAAATCTGAAATTGTCAAAAGAAGTGGTAGGGGTAGGGCCCTAGACATCGGTATAGATAATTTCAAATGGTTTGGAGTGAAATATAGAAGACGTGCTAGTCATAGGTGCTCTACAAGTCAATCACGTGAGTGATGATATGTGTGATAAGTTGTGAAGTCTTTTTACTTATTATTATTTATTAGTATTTTTTTACTTTATGTTGTCTGTTGTATATATTGTGATATTCATGGATCTGTGTAATGAGAATCGGATCGTGAGGAGATCACGATAATAAGACCGATTCGCTTTTAAATATAAACTTTAAATGATCTTGGTTATATGTAATTGTTGTTGAATGCAGGATGATGGATGACCAAGATGACGATGTTATACATCGATTGGATTAGCAACTGAAATAAGAGCGATTGGCTAAGTGATTTGTGAAGCCGACAATCGCTCGTAGATGTTGTTTTTATTCTAGTCTCGGATCAAAGATACCTCCCGTGCTTAAATTTTTTATGAGAAACAAGTTGAAAAAAAACTCAAATTGTTATTGTTGGGATGCCCCTAATAGTAGTAGCGTAAGTTATTTCTTGAGTTATTTGAGTTGAAGTTGCTACCATGATTAAAGGGTTAATAGTACAATAGAGTATGATGGCTTTATGTGTTATCTCACATGTACAAGAGGTATCTTATTTGATCTTTTATTAAAGTCTTTATTGCTTTGATTATTCTTTCTTTTGGATTTTGTTGACTAACTTGGCTTTGTTATCATAGTATTGTCATTTTTTTTTCTCTTTTCAAATGTGTTTAATAATCAATCAACTTGTTAAATAATTCTTCAAATGATATATGTGAATCTGGTGTTCGAATCGATCATCTTATAATTCTTATTATCAAAGTTAATATTATTGTAGGATGGTATCTTACTTGTCGAGGCTCATGGGTGGTGCACAACAGGCCACACCATCGGATAGGCGAAACCCTATATATTATTGCTAAAATCGGATCTTCCTTGTCTTTTGTTGCTAAAATCATGGTGGTTAAACTAATCTCATCTCGGTATTCTTCGAGTCGTAGACTTGTACGAGGCTCCAAGTGAAAGATCCATTGAAGAAGCAAGTTATCTTAGATGGAGTTATTATGTTTGGTTTCCCTGGCTGTCATTCTGGACCTCTGGTCGAAGAGCTGCAGCTATGATTGCAAAAGCCACACCACCGATGGGTTCTTCTCTAGAAACAGAAATCGTATGCAGCTTTAGCTTTTATCTTTTTTTTTGGGGTTCCTTTCTTAACTGTGAAACAAAGTTCATCCTTTTGCTCAAAATTTTTGAGTCCTCATCCTTTGACACTTTCTCACTTTTTCTCTTTCACTTTTCCTCTCCTTTCATTTGCAATGCTTTATATTGTTTATGATTTCGATGTCATGCCGTGTATTGAACTAACTCAATGCAAAAAGGAGACTCAAAATTGCTAGTAACACCATTCTCCGATGCATGGGAAATGATAACGACTTCATATATGCAAAAAAAATGCATATTTCCTTTCGATCGACGTGTTTCTTTCGTTCACTAGTACTGCATGCTCGGTCGGTCATTGGATTATCGAACACGTATCTTTACAAGCTTCTCTGCTTTATGATCCACCTTCGCTACTTCCAACAAAGATCCTACTCTACTTAGTGGTCCATGCTCTCTTTATTCCAGCACTAGAATTGAAACGAGGGATCTGTTGGATTTGAAGAAATATCAATATCGAAAGAGATAAAGACAAGGAGGTTGATATTATTAGTCAAGATGCTAGGAGTCTTGGTTTTGTATTCTATATAATCCATTGACCCATTCCTATGATATGCAGAGATATGATTGAGATTGGTGATAATTTCACATGTGATTCCTTGTTTTGCCGAATCCTTGGCATAATGGTTGGTTCACGGAGTCAACCCCTACATAAACGACACCACTTTAGAAAATTAATGATGGAGAGAAAAATGTTAATGAGTTGCTATTTCTTCTCGGCACATCATTTATTACTTTGATTTGTAGTAGCACTGCAAACATTTAGCTTGCAATGCCATGAATTAATCATACTAAGAATGATCTCTCTGGGGATCAAATGTAGATAATGCTTCTCTCTATCTCTATATATATATATATATAGGTCATCAATGAATCATACATGTCTTGTAAGAAGCTCATTGATAGGAAAAGAGAGAGAGAAAAAAAGACAGTCACTCTTCAATTATGTTGGAATATTATAATTTATTATAATAATATTATTATTCTTATCATTCATTAAAGCAACTAATCTATTGCTTTATTTCTTGACGAATTAATAGTCTTGTGGAAGAATTAATAGCCTTATAAACGTTTTACTTATTTGAGGTGGACTATATACAACCTTTACAGTATTTTAACTCTTTCAAAGAAAAAGTATCGGTAAGTGAAACTACAACATAAAATTGTATTTTTATACTTCGTTAAATGTAATGAATGAAAACTATTTTAAAATATATCAAATTATATTTTATTTTTAAATTTCTTATTTATGACAACTTCTTCCCAAATGATTAATCTTAATTAATCCATCTCAATCAACTAATATGCTTGTGAGCCTCTTTTGAACATGTCTACTCAATCTTAAATGAGTTTTTCCCCACATCACCAGTCATAATTGATTGAAATTGTTTTTCTGTTTTCATTCAACTCTCGTATTTAATTGATTTTGTTAGAGATTTTTGGAATCATCAATTATAGGCATTTGTTTGTGTTTTCCTTTTCATAGATACATCATTTACACCACATTATGAAGTGTCTCACAAAATTGAGATGCCAAGGTTTGAGGTAATTTTCCTCGGGCTTTCGTCATGAGCTTGTCACTGAAGAGTGTAAGAAAGAATCTATCTGATTCAGACAAAGATTATATAGATGGAAAGAATAAGAATACCCCACAACGGAAAACATTGAATCCGATGCAGATATATGCAGTAGATGCAAATCTCCCATGATGTATCCAAGTGGACTCTCTTCCTTGTTCTTGTTTTATTCTGCAGATGAAAGGAATGGACACATTTAGGCATGCATTTTCACCGATTCCACTGATTGATAATAAGATTTCAAATTATACAAGGAGTTTGAATCAAATTGGACAGAATAAATATTATGAGATTGGACAGCAATGCAATTCAAAAGTTGTCTATTAAGATATAGATCGAATTCAATATATGGCTTGTGGTTCCCACGAGTTTGATTCATTCTCAGCTGATTTAAAATTTTAAAAGATGCACCTTCGGAAAGAAGAGACATACTTATCTTCGGGTTAATTAGCTTAGTATCTCGATCCTTATATCTTAAAAAGTTATATTAATATCCATGTAGTTACAAAAATAAAACGATTAGGTCAATTTACCTTAACGACATTAGTTTTATTAACAGAAATATGAAAATAAATGATAAAAAAATAATTTTAACATTCAGTGGTGAACGACGATGTTGCTGGCGTTAATGGTGACAGACAACGATACTGCTGTTGGTATTTTAATTTTAAAATCCATCATAAGCTTTTTAAAATCAATAATAGTCATATAGAAACCTTTCTTCCTCTCTATATATTCTTTTATTAATTATCTTAGTACATAGATAGCTTCCACTATTAGTCTTCCATACATTAAATTAAATTAATTTTTAGAGATAATTTGTTTTATATCTTATTTTCTTTATGATTAAAATAGTTTTTGAATGTCACCCTTATCCTTATAGTCGTGACTATTCTTATACGTAATTAAATATTCTATCTCCTTCTTCATTCATTTCCTACCCCATGCTCTTCTTTTATATTTATCGTTTCTTTTTCGACTATTCTAATTTTCTTCAATTATAATATTTTCATATATATATATATATATTATATCATTTAAGTTTTATTATTATTTGTATTTGACCAGCTAATCCAACTTGAGAGGCATAAGTATATATAAGATTTAAGACATATGCTCCTAAAATAATATTTTAAATCATACAATTACTTCTAACATTGTCCTTAAGGATAAGATCCTTATGTGCAACAATATCTATACTAGTATTTCTATGTTTAAGTATGTCAAGTTCTTAAATCTAGTGCTATTAATCTTTCTAGATTTTTTTTCCTACTTCTTTTAGTCTCTTCTCTTGTACAAAAAAATATTAAGTTGCTTACCTAAATCTTTGTTTTTCAATTAACTTGTTCACTTAAATTGATTCATGGAAGCACTATGCTTACTATCAGTGGCACCACAAATAATCTATGACATGCTATCCTCTTCTCTCATAGAAAAGACAGATCTACATGAAGAAACTATTTTGACACTATTATAAACATTTTTATTCGAACGATTAATAATATTAAAATTTTAAGAAGTATATAATTTAATTAAAATTCTGACACAGACAACATGCATTCATTAAGGGTATTCCATTCGACAGCTCCACCAATAGCAACATGCATGCCACTAAGAATCATCTATGGTGGTGCAAAAGAGGGTGACAGAGGGAAGAAGAGTGAACAGCCCACATGGTTGTCAATGTCAGGATGGATTCCTTCAATCAATCTTTTCTTCTTTTTTCGCTTTAGTGAATCATCATCAATGTGTCTTTAGAGTTTGGAACTTGTTGTTTGGGTTTCCATCAAACAATAATGAAGTAACTGTGACTCGAACCTTTATTTATTTCAGCAGTGAGAGTAGAATTATTGTGATGTATAAAGTTCAAAGAATCTGCTATTCATGATTGGGTTTGGGAGGAGAAATTTGACGAGAATATGAAGTAACCTAAACACTAAAGATATCTTAGTGAATTCCATCCTGTTACTGATCTTCGCAATAGAGGTATACAAGCAACAAAAAGAATATGAGAAATACTAAGAGATATTATTTAGAAGAAGAGAACAGGAAAAAATAATAAAAGAAAATCCTAAATAGATGAACAAGAACAAAAGTGAGTGTCGTCATCATCATAAAATAAAGATGGTAAAGAAAAAGAAAGAGTACTACAATGATGTCATTGATGCCTTTTTTTTTAGGTTCGAACTTAGTGGATGAGCTGCTGAGTTGCCATCTCGGGTTGGACCGAAACCAAGTTCGCTTCTGCAAGTCATCGATGAATCCACTATGGTGTATACTGTCTGTCTATAAAATCCTCATCTCTTCTAATACCTTATGGTTGCTTAACCAGTGCTCGTTTCAGGGCGTTAAGCAGCTTCCACTTATTGTTGTTGTTGTTACGTATTCTATTTCGTATGCTTTGACGTCTATGACTTGCTTTCTAAATCTACTTGAAGTCTATCTCATTAAGTATGATGACTCTTGGACTAATAATGGGGATGAGTTTCTTGGTTTTAATATGAAAAGAACCTAAATAATTCAGACATCCTAACATATAATTAGAAAAAATTAAATGGGAAACAGAATAGCCTAAATGCATAAATTGTCATCAACACCTAAATATTTAGGACAGAAAAAAAGAATAATAATAATAATAATAAAGAAACTTCACATGCGAGAAAAGGGAGCCCGAGATGAGGTGAAAAAGAAAAAGATAGAAATATCGTCGACAGCAGGATTCGAACCTGCGCAGGCAGAGCCCAACAGATTTCGAGTCTGTCTCCTTAACCACTCGGACATATCGACTGATGTTGTTTGGTTTGGTAGTGACAAATATAAAACAAATTAAAACGTCTTTTCTTTCACATCAATTCATACTTAAAATCCTAATTAATATTCAAGTGTTAGCTATTCTGCCTAATATCTCTTCCTAGCTAATCTTTACAAGTCTTTGGATGAAAACCATTAATAACCCTAATCCGAATTAGCAATTCCAAGCAAAACAATAACAGGAGATCCTAATTAATGTTCACAAGTTAAATTTATATCACATATATAGATTATATAGTCCTTTTTATTTTTCCTTTGTTGCTATATGTTAAATCTGATATATGTTACGTTCAAGAAAAACTAGAGGCCTTCATCATATCACAGATATAGATTATGGGCTTTTCTTATTTGTTGTTACATGTTACAAGTATTTCTCTGGTTTACATTTAACAATGACCTAACGGGCTTCATCATGACACTTGGAATCATTAGATAGATGCAATGGGATGGTCAAAAATCTCGGGCAAAAGTTACATGAACTGGCGAGGCAAATCAATCAATCACTATGCTGCAAACAGCCCTTCTTCTTATCACCGAGATATATTTCATATCTGTGCCAATATATAATGCAGATTGCAAATAAAATGACCATCCAAAATGAGTTAAAACGAGTAATTAGCTGTGAAATGGCAAAGATACAGAGAAGAGTTGAAGCAAGAACTATAATCTTGATTCGATCTTGTTATACAACATCGACAACCATCAATCCTTGGTGTAGAAAAAGTATGCTGCTGATTAGATTCCTAGCAGAATTCCATATTCTTTACCTGCTGAAGATTAAACAGACTTGTGTGATACAGAAAGCTGCAACAGCACAACGAGGAAGTGTCTGCTCCTCGGAATCTAATAAACCATAAACTTGCTCAATTTTCACAACTGGTCCACCTTAAATAACTTATCTTCATTGCATAGTCCATAATATGTCCTCCAAGGATAAGAGCCCCTGCAATTCTAACATTAGCACGGTTATGAGGACATATCCATCGTCACATTCACATGTAGATCACAGTAATAGTAATTGAGGATACCTACAAGCATATATATTTTCCCACGAAAAAGCAATTAAAGGACGCTAGAGCCTCAGGTTGCTAAGCTACTTTTGCCATCTTCCATGAGCACAACAGGAAAGTGATTCACAACAAGACAAAAAGAGTTCTCTCTTCTGTAGCAAATATCACTCACAACAAGACCTAGCTACATTAGTAATCTTTATCTAGTTTTTCAGAGCTGTATCCACTTATTTGCACTCAATGGAGACCACCTTGAAAAGTACCATGCCAAGAAATAGCATTAACCAGCAATATTTAAACCAAATTTCCTTAGATGAAAACAATAGCCATTGTAGAACATAGATTGCTGGAAAGAAAATAAACGGTCACAATAAACCAAGGATACAGGATAAACAAACATTAAAAAAGCCAACATTATCGAAAGATATACAAGTTTAACACATGAAAAATCAACAAGAACACAGAATACATTAGCAATAACTACAAAATTACAAACCATTAAGCTAATTCCCAGATGGTACAGCAAGACAAGTCGATGAGAATTCCAATGGTGCATCATACCTAATATATTTCCACTAGGAAACAGATATAATGGAGAATAAGGCATTTCTTGTAACAATAACTGTTCTCAATATTAACCAACGATGATAGAAAAGATTATTGTGAGAGCAACTTGTATTGAATTTATAAATCAGAGTAAACCACCACCCAACGTAACAGATAGTGTTCAATGATGAAACATAAAAGATATATAATGACTAATATGTTAGGAAACAGATTCTACATGATTTTACTTAAATGTCAATTAAAATATTATGTAAAATGGATATTTCCTCCAAATGCCAGAAAAGAGTCATAAGGCGAGTTAAACAAAAACAAGAAATGAGACACATGGTTTTGAATGCCATAATGCCCACATCGCGTGACCCACCATCACAAGAGGTGCCTGAGAATTAGTTCTGTGCAGAAGTTGCCGGATTGGTAGTGGCAAATGGTGCAAGAGTTGCACTATTTTCAGCATCGGCAGCATCTGCACTAGCATGTCGAACAAACTCTCCAGGGGACATGTGATACCCATGACAAGCACAAACAATCTTTATCTGGTTTTCAGTGTACTTGTAGGTAACACCAGATATGGTTCTACCGTTTGGGCCTGGCCCAGTTGTTGAAACCCATGGGAGATCTGGATATGAGCCACATCCTCCAAATTTCACATTTGGTGCAGCACCTGGTCTTATTTGGGATCCTTCATGGCCTTCATCAGGGTTTGCTTTATTACTTTGCCAGAAAACAGTATTTATTCCCTTGGCTTCATCTTCCACATGCGATGAGGAAGATGTGCCAGTATCAATAACATGCTTACCACCTTTTGTGGAATTTGTCGATCTCCCCTCCAATGCCAAGGCTGATGAGGAACCATGGGGTATCCGAACTGAAACAGCATAGCATGATAGAAAGCGATTAGGGCAATCTGTAATCTTTGCAAGCATACATATTAAGACATATTGTTAAGCCTCTGGTGCTTATAGTGGGTTTGATTGCAAGCAATATTGCAAGGAAAGAAAGTCATGAGATGTGGCATTAGGCCTCTTCAGGAGGTGAAGAGGGATATCAGAAATTTTTATTTAGCATGAAAAATTTTCAGGACAAAGTCAATGCATACTCCAATTACTGAGGTTGTACTCTTTAAAAGTAAGACATCAACATGATGCATCAAAAACATGCAGACATCTCTGGTCCACATCTGTCCTAGCATCTGATGTTAAATCATGTAATTAGATAATTTAGATTTTCTGATCTTGCAAACAAATGGTCCTAAACAATCTCAATCATGTCATTAAATCTGGATCCCATCAGATCATCAGTAGCAGGTTAATGTTATGTATTAAAAAACATCAATATTTGATTGCTTCATCTTTTTGCAGTATAAATTTGTTTTCATAATTTATTAGAAACTTTTCCATGTTTTAGAATAAGTTATTGACAATATTAAGTATATGGAACATTAAAAAAACTGAACATGTTAATGGACTTTTTATGAATAGAGTAACTTCTTTATAGGTAGAGTATTGGGTTTTATTTTTGAGAAAGTTCCCAAAGCTTTGGCCAAATGTACTTTGTTGATACTAAAAAATAAAGTAAAAAATTGTTTTCAAAATTTTACATTTGTGGATTGTTATTACATTGCAAAGTTGTCACATGTCCTTTAATTATTATGCTATAAAGTTGACAGGTCTCCTTCAAATCATATGGTATTAGTCAAATCTCTTAAATGTCTATATCTTTAGTAATTGCTTGATACATTGCACAATACAAAGTATATTTTAAGCAAGCATTGCTTACAACTTCTTAAATTATAACATTTATTATTAGTTTAACAGAACCTACAAAATAACACAAACTGCATAAATTATGTTTAAAATTTAAAAAAAGATTCTGTACATGGCATGGGTCATTTGCTAGCATGTTCAAAAATTATAAGGATTGTGATACTCATATATTTCCTGCTGTCTTCATAAAATCTAAATGTCAAGTTCATAAATTAACAGTAAAACACATCAAGGAAAAAAAAAACAAAATTATGATTTGTGATCCAATCACCATCTATGATTTATGATAGAATCCCAATCCTAAAAGCAATCCTAGCATCAAAACTCAGCATAAATACAAATTAATGCATCCAAATGATGCTTTAGGAGTCTGATTTTAAGACACTAATTAAAGCACAGATGAATTTAGCCCTATCAGATAATTTATATAAGAAATATTTTTAATGACTGATTGTACTTGTGAGTCAAATATAGCATCATAATACTGGGCAACAAGATGAGTAAGTAAAATTTTCGAGTCTGATATTGGAATAGTACACACAGAGCAGCAAATTCATGCAACAGAACAAGTAAATATAAAAAATAGGTGCTAGACGAAAGTTTCAGGATTCAGAAACATAATTCCAGAAGTTAGAAGGGTGTCAGTGAAGAAATATTCAAAGGAAAAAAATGTATATAATATATGGTCTGCTAGACAAGGAATATAGTTTCTTTTCCACTCACGATCACTATGCAATCTATAAAAGCTTAGTTGAGCAACGTCTACTCTAAGTAGGGACAACAAATTCCTATGCCTACTTAATTAAAGGATCTCCTACAGCTGGGTAACTCTTAAATGTAACACTAAGCTTTCTTTTAGATAGATTTGTATCCCTTTGGAAAGAGGTCCAGCATGGCATCACAATGAGGTTTCTCTTTTACGAACTAGATGATCAGGATAAGTCATAACTAGAACTGGTGAGCCTTGTGCACTGGCCACCTTTTCTTTTTGGTCCTTTTGAGACTGTCAAATAAAGAGAGATACCGAAGACTATCTCTTGTATTCTGAGTCACCTGGTCCTACCTAAACATGATAAAGGCCAATAACATATCAAGATTGACCATTTTAAAAAAGAAAAAAGTAGAATAAAATGCAGTGACTTTGCCCAAAAGAGGTGGGGGGGGGGGGGGGGGGGGTCCTACTTTAGTCTGTCAGACGAAAGATCAGCACAGCTTGATTCTTTGATTTGGCTTGATATGCATCAAATGGTCATCCTGAAAGAAAATTTGCTAGTTTCTTAGTTTTGAGTCCAGTGAATCTTAATTAAAAATGAGCATGGACTTCCAAATTTTATCCATTCATGTAAAATGAGTTGCTCAACACAGGGTGAATACAAGTTATTTAGCATTCTTCACTTGATTAAATACGGTGCCTTTAACAATGAAATATGAGCTACCTACAAAAGAAACTCTAGTTCGAATCAGCATGGATATTACTATTATCAGAACAATGCAGAAGTCGAAGAATAGAAATTGACCATGAGGTTCAGCATGCTGAGAATCTGGCCCTCCATCCGCATGGTTTTTAGTTGTAGAGGAAGAGACAAGCTGAGACTGAGAACCAAATGCCCAGGAAGAATTTGTTTCTAGTCTTGGGAGTTGGATAGTTGAATATCCAAAAGCCATCTGCGAGTTGTTAGTGTTCACGGCCTGGACCACAGGCTGTTCACTGTTTGCAACAGGCATCAGTTGCATGACACAAGGTGAAGGAAAAGCTACCGTGTTAGGTACACTAGCGGCAGGTGGTACTTCAACTGGTATTGGGTAAGGCACAGTCATGACAGTTAGTGGTTGAAGTGATAATGGAATTCCATGTGCAACTTTCCCAAGTCCAGGATTGGACTCATTTCCTGAATAAAGTTGCTGCTTCTGCCCTTGATGGCTGATTCCAGATGAGGCACTCTTGTCAGCACCTTTAGGAAGGTCCGAGTGCTTAAAGCTGTCCTCACGCTGAGAAACCAACCAAGAGTTTGATCCTTCTGCCTCTGACCCTTCTACATCGTCATTTTCACCAGAGCAACCATCATCCATGGAAGGTGTGTTATGTGATAATTTGACAAAAGTATCACCAGAAGGACCCTTGCCAGCTATTGCAGAATGGTCAACCAACGACACATGCTTCTTTTGAAAATTCATTTCCTCAGTGGTCAATCGACGTTTCTTGGCTCCTGAATTGTCTTCCTCACTGTTTGTTGTCTTGCTATTTGCTATAAATGGCTCTTGATTTCCCATGAACTGCAATTGGTTACTCCGTTTATTATCAGAACCATCTGATACCGAAACAGTAAATTTGTTCAGGTCTGTCCAGAAGTTTTCTCGAGGTTGCGGAACTGCTTGTTTCCCACTGTGCTCCTGGTCTTCAGCGTTAGTTTGGAAGAAGTTCTTAAGTGGTACATCAGAAGCAGCCATGCTGCTGCTACCCACCGTTTTCACACAACTTCCTTCATCTATCCTATGATCTAAGCTAACATCTCTGCTTTTGGATTTGCCTGAGGATCCTCCAAAAGAAAGGCCCAAACTTAGCTCAAGCCCATTCTCGTCCTCCATATTTCTAAAATGAGTTACAATGGCATTTGTTGTCTCTCCTCTCTTTCTAAGAACTCTCAGCTCTTCATATATTTATTTCCCATGTGATGAATGTGCATCTCTGAGGATTAGGTAGATATGCAAAGTGCATGCAATGACATCAGTAACGGAAAGACAAGAAAAACAAACTTGAGGAAATACTTGAAATTCTAGGAAGAATATGACAAACAATATAAATTAAAAACACTAAAAATTGACTCAGTGGAATACATAAAAAGAAATAACATCTCAAAAAAGAAATGATGATGCATCTGTGGAGATGTTTCAAAATCTAAAGTCAAATCATTTTAGTACTCTATAGCACGACATTGACATTGTTTCCAGTATAAGCAACCATAAAATAGAATAAACATAAAAAACTATGAAAGAGAAACACAGGTTTCTGGACCCAGGCCCAAAAGATCACTTTTAAGTAGTAAAATATATTCCGACATGAATTAGACACTACAAATTGGATGACGGTTGGTCTTGATATCTCATCCGGGAGGTATAGAACAACTGTAGCTTTAAATTCCCTATATATCATTAAGGGATGCAACATTCCATCAAATTTCATCAAAATATACAGGTGACTTACAATTTATAACTTTCAGAGCAGGCAAATTAAAAAAAAAAAACCTACCGAACATTATCAAGCCCTACATTAAGCAGGAGTTAGCAATAATAAACCAAGAAGAAGATCATAAGTGATGAAAGAAAAAAATCAGCTGGAAAGCTTAAAGAAGCAATTTTTCATAGATCTAATAAATGGCCAATCAGTTCACCCATCTATCAATTTAAAACCAAGTCCCATGTCATATAGATGGACTTTGGTTTCAATTATCTATCTCCCCATGTTCTTAAAAACATATGAACAAAAACACAGCTTTAAGAAAATCTATGAAATTCGGCCAGAATAGATGAATATCCAGGGCATGGGAAACGGGCATAGAACCAAGACTAGAAAAGAGAAAAGTTTAACTAAGAAAAGAACTATTTATCTGCATACCTCGAACACAGTTTCTGAAACTGATCTCCAGAGAGCAAAGGCTCAAACCGAGTCTGCAAGGAGGAGAAAGAGAAGGGGGTTGTTTGGTTGGTGTCTTCTTTCTTTTATTCCCATGTGACTTGCATTTTGGTTGTGTGCGGTAGCGATGGAAAATGGAAAAGGATTGTAGCTAGAGGAGTTGTTTGGTTGGTCTCCTCTATTTTATATTGTTAATTTCCTTTTGGCATGTGCTCAATCGGTGGCTTGTGTCATGTGCAGTAGACTGACCATGGGGGGTGAAGGAAACTGGAAAAGGGTGACAGTCACTGTCCACAAACCCTAACCAACTAGCCTCTCTCGCACACCAGGAGCTTCGTTCCTTGATCCAAAGCGGAACAACCCAGAGATAGAATGTAATTCAGGTACTAACACTAGTCTCGGTATGAAAAATGACTGATTTCCATAAAGCAGGAGATCATGGATTTTCGCTATGGTCAATAAATGGTCGTCAATTCGCAGTCAATCGCATATACATGTGAAAACTTGCTAGCAATTAGAAAACGGAGAAGGATGGCGATGCAACGTACGGAGCGAGGCGGAGAGGTGGGCGGCGCGGAGAGCGGCTTGAGGCAGAGCGAAGGGTGGCGCGGCGTTGGGCGGAGAAGAGAGCGTGAGGCGGAGACGTCGAGTTAGGGTTAGGTTCCCGATGGTAACTCTTTCGTTTTAGTTAATTTAACGGAGCAACATTAAAATGAGGGTGATTTAGTCCGAACCGGTTTAATTTGGAACCGAACCAATTCTACGAGTCACTTGCAAACCAATCGGTCGAGCGGTTGAAGTTTCGCGGGTCGGACCGCCACAAAATGACCCAAATGCCCTTAAAATAATAGGAAAGAACGTTTAAGTAGGAGGATATTTTGGTCATTCTAACGTTATAAAGTGTTTACTTGGTATGATAATTCAGTGAACTTTGTAGCTACTGATATAATATGCCGCAAGAACTACATCGAGTCACAACAATTAAGTTGATCCAATAAAATAAAGTTTTTGTGAGGGGCTTCGCAGAACAATGTTCTACACCTCTCTTACCCTATTAATTAATTTGTCTATTGTGTTAGATGAAACAGGGCTTCGAATTGCTAGCAAAAGGATTAGTTAGAAATTGATGTCTCAAATAAGTGCTCCAATTGCATTAGAATTGACGATTTTGAAGACCCAAAGCATTTTCCATGTTTACAATCCCCAAGAAATGACAAGACACAGCCTTTCAATTTTGATGTCTTAAAAGAAATCTTTTAATGATGTCCTATTCGTTGGGGCTTTATATTTTCTATCATTTTCCCAACAAGTCATATTCGTTGAGCTGTGAACGTCCTCCTCACTCGTAGATTTAAATATAATAATTCAAAAATAATAATATTCATAAATATAATAATTCAAATAAGGTAGGACCAACAAATCATATTCATAAATATAAATATAATAATTCAAGGGTGAGATCATAGTTTGTGGTGTATGAGATGAGCTGTTTGGAGTAAAATTTCAGGCTCAAATTATAGAAGGCTGCCTAAGTCAATGCTTCCCACATATAAATAAGGGATTTATTTTGAATCTATAATCAAGTGTACTACAAGTGTAACTCAAGAAAATTTCACCAAACCTATCCAAACTTATATATCACTATTATGATTCTAATATGTTTAATATCACTTTTTTTTTATTTTTATTTGATTTTTAGATGATTTTAAGGATTAAAATGTTTAAAAAGGGTATTATGGTTCTAGGTGGTATTATCGCCTAGTCTAAGGCAGTACCATTACCTATGGCCAATAGACTATTGGATATAAGTGATACCATCACTTGTTTAGTGGTAGTATCACCATCGGATAGTGTTATATTGTGATTGAGTGTAACTCGAGTATAACTCGATTTAAATTTAACTAAATCAATCCAAATTTATCCACAACTATTATGACATGATTATAAAGATGATTAAAATTATTTTTTATAATTTTAGAAGATTTTTATGTATTTAGTAAAATTTAACACGTGGTGATTGGAATGTCATATTATGTATCCAATTGAAAATTAGCAAAATGGTAACATCAATTAAACTTAAATATAAATACAATAAGGATTGTAACATCAATTGTAAAATGGTAACTTCACGTTCAAAATTAGCAAAAGTTAAAATGTTTCGTAAAGTTGTAGCAAACTTGCGGAAAAATTATATAGGTATACTTGTATAAGATTGAAGATACCACATTATTTTATATTTGATAATGTTGACTTATACAAGTAGTGTAAATTTGCATAATCATCAATTATGATCTAATTATTGATACCTTGAATACCTTATAGTGTATTCATCTTATATCATATAATTTTTTATTATTATAGCGAATGATTCGACAATAGGACTAAATGATGGGTCGATGCTTTAGAGACATTGTAAAGAATGATGTTGTGGCTTCAATGACACTACAAATGCTTTACGAATATAATGGTTAGTTGTTTTATGATTTAACAAGGGTACACAAAGCTAAATAGGGTTGCGACGATGAACTATTGATCGTTAAGACTCCACAAGGCTTCATTGACAATGGATGGCGACCCGTTGATGAGGACTAGGCTATAGTTCTATTAGTTTGTTGATAATCAAGACTCAACAACTAACCATGAAGATGGTTAGCAGGAAGGCAAACATCCTACTAGCAGGGAGGCGATGATGACCTCTTGCCTTGTTGGTGACGTCGATGGTGACGTCCTACCCTAACAATGTTGACTGCGACCATCAAGGCTCAACGGGAAGGTGATATTGATCTCTTGCCCTAGCAATGGTGACCACAACCACCAACGCTCATCAAGATTACTTCGATCTCTTGTCCCATCAGCAAAGGTCACTACAACCACTAAGGCATAGCGAGAAGGCGACAACTATGATTCTTTCAACCATTAAGTTGGACAATGATATTCCTATTGACGATGGCAATCATAGCCACAACCTATGATAAGGTCGGCAATGCCAACCTCTTTAGTGTTTTTGTTGCATTCATAGAAAGGGGATTGACAAGGTAATTTGGGAGAAAAATAAGAGTCAATCTAGGCTTAAATCGAACAAATCAAATAGTTGATTTATTTTGAACTTGTCTAACTTCATATCAAACAAATTGATTCGTCCAAAAAAAAAATCCAAAGTCAAATAGGGTCAATGGACATTGTTTATCATTATTTGATTTTATAGAGGATATCTGGTTATAGTACGAAAAAGGATGATCTTTAGTAAAAATCAAATATGGGGGCATCATATAGTAAAACCCTATTATTGAGTTTTTTTTGGATAAAATGCCTAAAATAAAATTATAAATATTTTTTTTATTTTTAATTAATATAAATTAAAAATTGATGATTCGAATAGGTCTTGAGCAATTAGGTTTCAATTCTTGGTTTAAAAAAGTCAAAACAATTGGTTTCGAAATCGAAAATGATTGGTTCTGAAACTATTAACTATTCTGAAATCATGATAAAAACTATCTATGTCAACATATTGTGCATGCCAGTGTAAATTTCTTACCATGCTTAGCTTTGCTATCTTAACACATAAATTGATCAAGAACCACATAATTTTATAGGTGGACAAATTATTGTATCCAAAAAATAATTTTAATTCATGAGGGACAAATTGAGAATCCTCCCTTTTATATTTAACATTAATTAACTAAAAGATAAAAAGAGAATGAATAATAAAAGAAGATTTGAAATTTTCTTACATTGAGGTTCTTTAAAAATATCGTTGCTTTAAAAATATTAATATTGTAGATTAAATTTACTTTAGACAAGTACATACAAAAATAAACTTATTGCATAGGGGGGGTATTATGATAGCTTCAGCAATAAATAAACAGTAGCAACACAAGCACGCCTCGCATCGGTTCCGTCTTTATCTTTCTAAAAGAACGCGCGCGTATCAACGCCATCTCCGCCTCGTAACGAACCCAACCAGGTGCGACAGGCAGAGGGAACGGGACCACGTGCTTTATTCTGGACTTAAATGACCATACTGCCACTCGTCCCACTAAATTATAACGTAAGCGAATCGTCCCAAATGACTATTTTGACACTCTCCCCGTAATTATCACTGTAGAAACCTCGAATGACCGGTCCAAGTGAACCCTACCCTTTAAAAGGCCCCGACGTGGACGGGCGACCCAACGAACGTGAACCACTTGAAGCAGCGCGCTCCTCTCTCGCTCTCTCAGATCGAACGATCCAAGATGAGCACTCAGGTCTTCCGATCGGCTTCGAGGACGGCGAGGGCTTTCCTGTCGGCCTCGCGGACCGCCCCACTCCACTGCCGTCAGTTTTCTCTCTCTCTCTCTCGCACGCACAGTTTTCAGATCAAACCTTTCTTTCTTTGCCTTTTCGTTGGAAGTTTGTACGAGTACATTATATTTCGATTGGCGGTAATTTAAATTAAAGACCTATTCAACATGTGTGAGATTGCGTGCGTGTGGAAGTGCTTGTACTATGTTTCCACGAAGATGTGGAATTGATTGCTTTCAGATCAATTTCTCTGGAAATTTCTTTTATATGTTTTATTATCTTTCCGCTTTGATTGATTGTTCCGTGAAGTGCGCATCTGACGAGAATGCTCGTTCTCGTTTCTGTGTTCTTCGAATCGGAGAATCTCATGTTGGGTCAAAATGTGTCGAATTGATAGGCTTTCTGATTAGTTTTTCTTTTCTTTTTTTTTCTTTGGCACCGAAATTTTTTTTTTTTGTAGCGAGGATCTGTTAAAAATTCCATTTTTTTGGGTATTTTGATCAGAAAAGCTCGTGATTCGTATACGTCTGTTGGAATTTGATTGTGACTCGGCGTGAGCTATAATTATCTCTCTATCGAAGTAGAAAATTTGACAGATGGGTTAACCTCTGGTTTTACTCTCTTTTCACCTGAATCGATTCAGGCCACCCTAATCTTTTCGGAACTAATTCATATCACATTCAGATTAAATCTTGGCATCAGTTCTTTGGATTTTGTTACACCTTTAAGCGGAATTTAAAGAATACGTTAGACGAATTTCTCCAAAACAAACGAATTTATCGGATCAGTGCACAACTTTATTGCAACTTTTGTACTTCCATTAGGCCGATTTCTTGTCATCAGCTGTAGCCATTTTGGCAATCTTTGTAAAACACGAGAACCCAGTCCAAGTTTAGGCATACAGCGCTGTCCTTTAGATTGAAATAATTAGCATCAAGGAGTCCCTTTCTCTTTATACTTTTCTGCTTTTCGGATATGTTGAAGAAAGGAAAGAGAATGACTTGAGGTTATGGTCTAATCTCCACGCTCCGAGGAATCACGTGTTTAACTTTTGATAAATCATGGCTCATTGCTTTTGTGACAATATTAGCTGTTTGCTTCCTATCTCAATAATTTCAACCATATTTGTATGTAAAATGCTGAATCGAATTATTATATTTATGCTCCTAAAGATTTCTGTTAGTAATAACTTAATTTTAAGGAGCCTATATGTCATGGTTTCTACTAATGATATTTTATTTCTCTCAAAATGAATGAATTCCGCATTTCCTCCTTTTGTCATCGATTCATCGGCATTCTAGAAGACCACCATCACCAGCTCTCACTCATCTTGGTCATGGTAGATTTATTGGCTAAAGAAATATTTGTCGATACATTGATAGGTCCCCTTCTATATGTCAGTTACTTCTTTCTTATTTTCATTTCTGTCTGTAGTAAGTCCAGTGTCGATGACCCTGCTTCATGGATCTAATTCCTGAATCTATCACGGATCACTGCCACAGCTGTTTGAGAGTAGGACACAGATTGTTTGCAAAATTTTCCAAACAAAGTTAATGAAATGACTTGTTAGCCGTGCCTTTTGTTGTATCATAAATCATTGACAATAGTATGTGTTTTGTATAGAGTGGCGCACTGCAGCGGCAGCCACGGCAACAGTGTTCAGAGGGTCAGCGCGCTCTCTGTCTTCATATTGTGAAAAGGCTGATTGCAAAAATACCACATCAAGAGGATGGCTGTATGGTACTCTTGCCTTTCCTGCCGCAGGTCAGTTGTTGAATATGCATCGATTTCGTTTATCATGAACCTTCCAAGTTTCCTCTGTATTTTACATTATCCATAATGTAAGTGATTCGAAGATTCTTTTCCAGTTCTTGTTTGGCACTATCAAGATACTGTTTCTCTGATAACTCTTTTGTTGCACATATTGCCAGAGTTTTTTTTAATTAAAAATTTCGACAGTATTGCAAATTATGTGCTTCAGGAAGTGATGATATCTCAAAACTTTTCTGATAGCCTGTTTTGCTATTTATAGTTGGTGGAATGTATATAAATATTTGTTTGCATATAATTTTTATTTTTGTTGGCAGTATACTTGCTTCAAGATCACCAATTACACGCAGCAGAGGTACGAATTTCAGATAAAAAATTTCAGCTAAAATTTCAAACTGTAACTTTCGATTTTCTGATCATGGTTTTTTATATGCTTAAGCTGGAGAGGACATTCATTGCAATAAAGCCTGATGGAGTGCAAAGAGGGCTGGTAAGTTGGTCCTTCATATATCACAGATATCTATCGGTAAAGCAGTTGATATTTTACTTATTTGTAAATTTTGAATATTGCACTAAATTCTGGTTAGTTGCACTACTACCTTTTAAATTTTTTTAGTGTTCCTCATCCTGATCTTTCAAGAAACAATTTCTTTTTAAATCCCATGATGTCTGAGCACTCCACTTTTCAACACTAATCAGCTTTCCTTGCCATTTCACAGAGATGTGGTCTGTTTTCAGACTAGCAATCTTTCCTCCTTTGAAGTACATACGGAATTGATGTGCTATCTCAAATCATAAAAGATGTTGGGTCAGAAATAGTTTAAAGTTTATAAATTATAAAGAAGAAGATTGTTTTGTGGAAGAAAAGTAAATTTCCATCGTACCTATGAACTGATTCCACAAGTTGAAGTAAGCTTGATAATACAATGTTTATTAAACTGAACTAGCTGTTAATTTCTGTTAAATGTTGTTTGTTAATGCACATTTGTTAATTGTTCTTGAAAAGATCTTTTTCCACCGGGACAATTCTCTAATTCATTCTAATGCACCAATGATCACTGTGTTTGTATGATTTACAGAGATTACTGAGCTGGGCTCTTTTTCCCTCTTGCACAACATCTATTTTAGTAAACCTGATAACTTTTGTGTTCTTCAGATTGCAGAGATTGTATCCCGTTTTGAGCGAAAAGGTTTTAAGCTTGTGGCGATTAAGATTGTGGTTCCTTCCAAGGAATTTGCTCAGAAACACTATCATGATCTAAAAGAAAGGCCATTCTTTAATGGCCTCTGTGACTTTCTTAGCTCAGGCCCTGTGGTTGCCATGGTAAGATAATACTGTGTGATGTTACCGAGAAAAAAGATTTGATAACTTCATATGTTTACTTTATTAGTTACTAAATTGTAGGTTTGGGAAGGGGAGGGAGTCATAAAATATGGTCGAAAATTGATTGGTGCTACTGACCCACAAAAATCTGAGCCTGGCACAATCAGAGGTGATCTTGCTGTTGCTGTTGGAAGGTATGTCCTGGAAACATTTTTTTCTTAAAGTCTGTTCAATAGATCTTTGTAATATAAGCAGTTTTTTGATAGCTTAAAGGCAAATCGAGAAGGTAATAAAAATCTGCAGGTAGTGTTACGCACAAACATTTCAGATGATATATAACTGGTCAGAAACAAAGTGCATCTACATTATCCAATAGATCTGCAGTACATTAAGTGTTGTCATTTCTTTCTTATCTGTTCATTAAGGTTGAATTTTATTAAAAATGTTCCAAATTGTCTAAATAGATGTCTTATCATATGTAAATATTATGATGAATTTGTTCATTAAGATTGAATTATTTTATTTGAAATTTCCAAAGTTCCCATATGGTTGAAACCGTCGAGAATAAAAGGAGTAAGGGAGCCAGGGCAAATAATGGAATCATGAATATATATATATATATATATATATATATATATATATATATATATATATTATCAATTTCTAATTCATTGAACTATACACAACATCTTTTTTTCTTTTTTCTTTTTATTTTTTACAAAGGATAAGTGATAATAATAGTGATAGGTTTTGATCTAGGACCTTTAGAGTGATCTAACTAGGCCTAAACTAACTATTACCTTCTAATCCTTGGTTAGCGAGTCTAATATACAGCATCAAACAAATGCTTTTAGTGTAAAAATTTATCAGATGAAATCTTGAACCCTTAAACCTTGGTAAGTACGTATGATACATCACCATCAAAGTTATGTTCTAGATATGCAACTTAGATGAGACCTTTGATAAAAAGTGAGTTTATACGGAATACTTGACAATTTAGTAAATGTTTTACCAATATGCTGTGTTCTTTATCGACAGTGATAGCTTATTCTTGCCATTTCTTACTACTAATTAACGTTGTAGAAACATCATCCATGGGAGCGACGGGCCCGAAACAGCCAAGGATGAGATCGCCCTATGGTTCAGACCTATTGAGTTAGTCTCTTATACGAGCAATGCCGAGAAGTGGATCTATGAAGTAAACTGATCAGCCCTTCTCATCTCTATTTTTCTCACATTTTGGTGGACTTTTTAGATGTTGCAGGCAGTTGCAATTAAAATTATCGAATGTGTCAAATAAGTAACGTCATCCTGAGATGAGTTCCTGATGCTACTGCTGAAATCTCGTGTGGTTGTAGAATGTTAATCTGGATATGAAGAACTGCTTCATTGTCTTCTACATGATATTGTCTCTGCAGTCTTAGCTATGTTCTTGTCCTGTTCTTACCTCTACATATCTTATAAGCGGATTGGCATTTAGTGTGACTAACTCACATTCCCAATTATTCATTTTGCTTTTTGATCCATTAAATGGGAATAAATTTGTAGTTCATGTATCGACTTTGCCTTTGGAAGAGGGGTCTTGGAGACCCATTAGATATCAAGTGATCTGATGCAATGCGAAGGACATCTTAATCAAGGATCACAGTTGTGATTTTGGGACCCTGGGTTTATGGTCAAACCACTTGGGATTTAGTTGGTTCTGTCATACTGTACAAGTATGTCAGAACATGCTAAAATACTATAAGGGAAGAAAGAAAGAGGAGAGGAAGAGAAAAACTAAAGAAGAAAAATGAAGAAGAGGAGGAAGGAGGAAAAGAAGGAAAAGAAGAGAGAGAAGGCATGAAGGAGAAGAAAGCTTAGCCGGTAAAACATTAACATGTAAGGGAAGGAAAAAGGAAAATGAAAGGAGAGGAAAAGAGGAGGAAGAGAAAGCATGAAGGAGGGGAAACCCTTGGAATCGATCCATCTATCAATCGACGGTCAACACGATAAATATGGATCAAACAATATTAGCAAAACAATAATCTTAATTTACCAGAAACTAAGAAAATTTGCTGATTAACTCCAAGGTTTGTGTGAATGAAAGAATGACGTTTTGACATCATAATAAGATTGTTCTTTAGCAACATTAGAAATGACCTTTTGGGCTTATAGGGGTGTGTGAGCATTGCCAAGAATTTGACTCTTCCCCAACTATTTAAAAGCAAGGACAACAGAGATAACATAGCCATGCATGTAAACAGCCGACATCATCTCTGGAACACAAGTGTGTATGCCACATAAACTACAAATTCAATGTATTTAAAGCAATGATAGAAAAATATAATTGAGAAGAACATCTATGCAGATAAATGTGGCGGTAAAAGCAGAGTCCACTAACCCTTTGCATATCTTTGCCACTCACCCAAATTACCTGAAGTGAACAAGCCATGCCTTAAGTGCCACATAAATAATATAGTTTGTTGATACACTTGAATTCTTGTTACTTGACAATGTCACCTGAAGAAAAAAGAATAGGCTGAGATTAGACACGGCAATCTGCTATAATTTCCGGTGATACCACTTTTGTGAGAACAATAGGATTTGTGAAAGCATTACAAGGTTAGTTCAGATATGCACTTCGGAACAAAGTTAATGCTGAGGCTAAAACATATGCATCCATTGCATACTAGAGAAAATTCCAGGAATTAAGTCCCTAATCCTTTGCCAATAAGTGAAGTTATAGCTGCAATTGCTTTACAATTGCATTTACAAAATCTTGTGCATGAGAGTAAATATCAATCTTATTGTAGATTTGTTTTTGCACAAAGCATAGCTCTTGAAATATTCTAACCATGTACTGAAAAATTACTGATTAGAATACAATCAATATTTGAACAAAAATAAAGTCGATGACAACGTGTTTCGAAAATATGTTTACAACAATGCCAACAATAGTTGACAATTTAATGCTTTTTTAGACATCTGATGGAGCATCTAAATTGGGGCAACAGAACCTTGACAGCAGATGCAAGCGACCAAGATGCCGAGAACAGCCCCGGCAAATACTTGCGATGGCGTGTGACCCAGGAGCTCCTTTAGCTTTCTTTCACTGATGGGATGCCCTTGAAACAAGTCATCGATGATCTTATTAAGTACCTAAATGGCATAAACATTTTAGATTGGTAAATGTCAGGAATAAAAAAAATATTCAAGGCTAACACACACAAAAGAAGTCCATTGTATCATCAGCATGAGTCATCAAACATGCAAGCAAAGACATGTTCAAACAACAACAAAAAATCAATTTTACATGGAAACTAAATACACATCTCATGTCTGTTTTTAATCCATGTGAAATATAGCATATTATATATACGTGATTTGTATCGAAGCTTCCACTTAGGTAAAATGTTCATCTTTTTCCACATCAACATATACAAATTAATCGGGGAGGATAGCATATTTACGGATGACAAAAATCTCATATGAATTACTTCAAAATATATGACACAATGTAGTATGGAAGATGACTATAATGGTTGACAGCTCTCTCAAAGGACACATACGATAAACATAGTATGAAACACATCGACCAGCAAAGATTCATCCATATGGAAATCATTAGAAGAAACAGTACATGTATTGGTAGGTTGACCTGCATACTAGTATATCAACAATGTGCTGATGTTCAAAGTTCAGTGTAGATTCTAAAGCATTATATATTACATTAATTTTCTGATGCAGAAAATAAATCATCATGGTTATCATTCTTGTCCAAGTCTCACAAGGGTTCAAGGCTTTAAGCTACAAAAAATCAACTAATCCAACTTATTATCAACAAAGAGCTTATTATTTTCAGAAAGATATATTTTAAAAAAGAGTTTAGTAATGCTATATACCAATTAGGCCCTATTAAAAGAAAGATGAACTGCTTGTGGTAAACCAAGCACATCAGAATTAACATCTGCAACAGGGCTTCACAAGAATTTCCAGACTATCAAAAAGGTAACATGGCAATATAAATTATAAACTAATAAGAGTTAAAGCCAAAGACAGTGTTGCCAAAGAGCCTAAATTGATGGTGCAAAATTTAGATGACTTGACTTTGCTAGATAAAAGGAAGGTGCCAATGCTTTTTTTCTCACAGTATATCTTATTCACTCTCATGGAGGAAAAGCAATAGTCCACTCAAAGCCATTGAGAAACTAATTAAGGCAAGCCATGCAAAATGGCCACAAGAAATCACCCTTTTTCGTGTATTAAGTAGAAATAAATAGTGTTGCAAATTTTCATCTGGTAGAGCTTTCATGTTTTAGTTTGACAAAATAGATTATAGAGATCTTGTTTCACTCAAATTGGTGATTAAATAGTGCAAGCATGTTACTATATTTTTCATTATTTGATATAATTAAACTTGTCATATATTCACTCTCTATTTCTGAAGCATGTTGTATGAGGAGATAGATCTATAGCAGGTTCATATAAGAAAGAGTTCCTTTGCATGCAGAATCTCCTTTGTTCTAACACTTTCTGACATATTCTCAGCTTTCAACCCAACCCACATCCAATTGCCTTAGCAATATTGGACAATCTCCAAATATTGATGAGAAACTGATGACCTGTACCTATAACAAGTTTGTAGAATCAACAAACTCTACTATATGATTTGCAAAGTCCTTGCTTTGCTACTTAATGACGTATATAACTTTTGAAGTTTTTGATCATGTAAAGTAAGAAACGGCACCGTGGTTTTGCCTTGCACACCATGCATGAAGCATCATATATTCAAACCAATAGCCAGAAAGAACTTCAGATATAAATCTTCACTTTTGTAACTGCATGGTTTGTGTTAGACATCTTTTGTGCATATGGGAATAATGATCCAAACTTACTTTTAAAAAAAAGCAGAAAATTCGTGTATGCATGCTTGTCTAGAATGTTTCCAACAATGCCTATGATCCTAGACATGGACAGTCGTATCGTGACGACCGATGGTATTGATCCATGGGTGTACCATATTTATATGGTGCACACACTATAAATATCATACTGGCATACGTACTGTACGTATGCTGCAAATACCGTACGTACGTACAATATAAATACCAAATGAACATACACTATAAATCATATAAATACCTTCTCCAGTATGTCGGAACATACTGGTTTTCAAAAAAAGGCTGAAAATGGCCAAAAATTCACAAAATATCTTTTTTAGGCCTTTTAGCCTAATTTAATAGTAATTTTAGTGTATTTAACTAAGAATAGAGTGTACATGAGACAAATAAGTGCATAAGACTGTGATTAACACTAAATACCTCCAATTTGGGCCTAAATTAAGACAATAGACCTAATTGTTACTAACAAGAAAATGAGCTTAATCATGTTTAATCTTTGTAAATATGCATTTATACGCCTCTAATTAAATGGAATGATAAATAAAACATAGAAAAAAACTAAATACCTTCAAATTTGAGAGAAATTCCCCTGGATCTCGAATTCCAACCCCTTTTTTATCCAAATCAATAGCTTAATTACCACTAATCACCAACTACGAACTATGATCACAAGCGAGAGTGAGAGAACGGGTGAGAAAGAGTGTGAGAATGAAAGCGAGTGAGAGAAAAGAGGCCCCAATGGTCAATTTGACTGTTGGGATCAAACTTGACCCGATTGGGATCGATATCGGTCAAATTCCAACTGGAACTAACCCATATCAATTGACACAACATGAGCTTCGACCGTATCGGCTGATACATCACCCGTCTTGACCGATATCTGACCCTTTTCTGTATATCTCCTGAAATGGATACCAGTCAGCTGGCGAACCAATACATACTGCCCGTTTCATATCAATTTGGGTGGTATGTCAAACCTTGATTCTAGATATATGAAAGTTCAAAAGTACTTGTAGAATTATTCCTTAGCTATATTTACAAGTCAAGTCATATTGATTTTTTACAATATACTTAAGGAAAAGCCCACATGTATCAAAGCAGTAGCATATGCATGAGCTTGAAATTTAAAAAAGTATTAAACATTTCCTTCTTCATAACTTTTTTGTGAACATGGTTACCCCAGAATAACATGCTAGGTTAGAGAAGTGGAAGAGTTGGCTTGGTCACTCAACTAAGTCACATATTTCATAGCCCATCTAACTAAAAGAATGATGAAAGTCAGGGCTGTTAGGAAAAATGTGTGACTCTGCCTGATTATTATGAGTGGAGTGACTTGTTGATGAATGAATCTTCTGAAAAATCGGCCGAGTCTGAGTTTTTTTCTGGCATTGTAGCTGATTTGCAACTCAAATGGCCCAGTTTATATGCAATTTTCTCTTTATTTGGAAGAATAAATGAAGACATCATTCAACAAGATGTGTTGCCCAATAATGTTAGAAGCCACAAACATAATGTCATATTTTCAAAGTTCAAAACCTTAGTCCAGTGTCGACAATGGTTGATGGCTAACTGGAATGGTTCCAGTCTGATTTGGCATACTGACACTTAGTACAAGTGCAGGCTGATGTACCACACTCGGTTCATTAGATGATGAGATGCGAAGGAGCAGGAGGCAGAGAAAGATGAGAACCAATAGGAGGAGAAAACGGGGACCTCAACAAGGAAGATGACTGCAACAATGTGGTGGGGTGGATGAGGTGGTGGCAGTGATGTGATGGGGAAAAGAAGGAAACAGTGGCGAAGGAGGGGAGAAAGAGAGATCACATGAGATGTAGAATGAGAACATGATATATATATATATATATATATATATATATATATATATATATATATATATATATATATATA